CAGCAGTAACAGTAACATCAGCAGTAACATCAGCAGTAACAGCAACTGTTGTTTTCCTCTGTTTGTTCCTGTTTCCATGGAGACCATGAAACAGACCCAGAGTTAAACCGGTGGTTCAGGGGACCATCAACTGACCTGGAGTTTTAATGATCGACCACAGGACCTGAGAAGTGGTGTCCTCGCCCCAGTGTTTGGGCCACACTTACAGGTAATGGAGCACCGTCTCCTGTGACTGGTTAGGTTCAGCTCTGACATCACTTCCTCTCCACCGTCAGTTCTGACTCCAAGTTTGTCTGGTCAGGGTCAACTCAACGACACGTGGACACGCCCACCTGGACGCCCAGGTCACATGATCCAGATGACCTCATCAGCTCATCCTGGTGGTTACCCTGTGGTATAACATGTGATCAGACGGAGGACTGGGCGTCTCTACCTGCTGTGTTTATTATTGGATGTAGATTTAGGTTCAACTAAGACGAGGGACGTTTGAAAAAGTCAACGGAGAAAAACATGTTGATTCATTTCCTATGGATTTTCCACAAATGAGAGGAAGTGGAAAAGTCAGATAAAAATAGATGGTTAGAAAAAAGAAGACAAAACACGGAGCGAGAAAGACTGAGAATCAGGACAGATATTACAAATCAGTTTGGTGGAGTTGACCTGGAAACAACAAACTCAGGGCGCGGCGTCCACCGTCCAGGGCCTCGGTCAGGGACTCTTCATGACATTCCCTCAGAAGTGACACGTGACGTCATTCACTTCATTAATTAAAGTCATTGGTTAATGACAGGGTGAAGCCCGCTCTCTCTCTGAGCTCATGGATTGGGTTCAGACTGGAATGTTGCTGGAATGAGGCTTTGTGGGCGTGGCTTCCCGGTTCTCCCAGAGAGGAACTGCTATGTCACACTCATGCCCATATAAGGATTCCGGACTTCCTCCACAGGCGGGATCACAATAAACAATAGCAGCAACAGCGTTTACCGACCAGGCACGGGCTTTTCACACTGACAATGAGAAGTACACGGTACGAAGTACGGGGTACGAAGTACAGGGTACGAAGTACAGGGTACGAAGTACACGGTACGAAGTACAGGGTACGAAGTACACGGTACGAAGTACAGGGTACGAAGTACACGGTACGAAGTACAGGGTACGAAGTACACGGTACGAAGTACAGGGTACGAAGTACACGGTACTGCGGGTATAAGTACATTTGTACAACTGTCAGGTCAGAAAGAGCCAAAGACGCGTTCTTCGGTCAGTGACGACACATGAACGGCTGTGGCTCAGCGGTGCTTCGACCCGGTTCATTCATCTGTGTCCCATAACTTCAACCAAACACTGACGTAACTGACACAGGCGCAGCATTAGCATAAAAACCGATCGTGTTGTTATCGGCGCTCCAGTGTTTGCGACAGTCGCTCCGCCGCTGTCTCCCGTGCCTACAGGCTGCTTTCAGTCGCCTCTTCCCGGCATTTACGTCACTCTACGACGCAGTGTGTGGGCAGGGTCACCGAGCTGCCAGCCAATCAGAATGCGGCTAGGGCTGTAAGCGTATATAAAAGAGACGCAGAGACCCGCCTGAACACACCTCAACGAACAGCGCCACCGACGGACCAGAGTTCCAGGGTCACAAGTTTATGTTCACTGAACCGCGGGAGGAAAACAGTGACTCCAGGTTGAACAGAAACAGAACAGTCTTCTCCTGACACCGATCTCCTGTGGGATCCTGGACCTTCATTCTTCTTCAAGAGAGATTTTTTTGTGTGTCGATTCCTGGACATTAAGAGACCCCGTCAGGACCTGAGTTGATGCGGGTCCGGTACTACACATCCACACACTGAGTCTGAGTCTGAGTCTGAGTCTGAGAGGAAACCCCGTCACCGTCCACTCCTGAGCCACGACTTTATGTCTACAAAGATGGAACAGCCTTTTTACCACGACGACTCCTTTCTGTCACCGTACGGACACTCGGACGCGGCCGTGCACGACTACAAGCTGCTGAAGCAGAGCATGAACCTGAACCTGAACCTGGCAGAGCCGTACCGCAGCCTGAAGTCCCAGCTGAGGGCCGACACGGACGTCTACCAGGGGCCACAGCCGGACATGGGCTCCCTGAAGCTCGCGTCTCCGGAGCTTGAGAGGCTCATTATTCAGAACAGTCACGGGGTGATCACCACTCCCACCCCCGGCCAGTACTTCTACAACCGCGGCATCACCGAGGAGCAGGAGGGCTTCGCCGAGGGGTTTGTCAAAGCGCTGGACGAGCTTCACAAGATGAACCAGATGGCTCCTCCAAATGTGTCCATCGGTGCCGGCGGAGTCACCACCTGCTCAGCGGCGGCATCTAGCGTCTTCGGCTCCACGCTGCAGCCGGAGCCTCCCATCTACACAACACTGAACGCCTACTGCCCAAACACAAACCTGTCTTCTGCGTCCAGTTACCCCACTGCCACCATCAGCTACCTGCCCCCGCACCAGCAGAGTCACCCGCAGACGCAGACGTCGACGCCCGCTGCGCATCAGTTCCAGCACCCGCTGTCCGGCTCCGGGCTCCACCCGCAGCGGATCCCCCCCCTCCACAACGGAGCGGCAGGAGGGCGCCCGC